GCAAATAACCAACACACATTATGATAGGCATTGGCGTATCTAGGTCCATTTTCCAGGGTGGGCCTGGGCCATTACTACAAAAAAAATCTAACATGCATATTATAGTTGAAAATTCGAATATTTCAATATCTACACCCGTACGAAGATGGGGCGGGTCGCTAGTTCCCTATATGAAGAAGAGTAATGCTTCAGAACGTCTCTTCTCCCATGGTAGATCAAACTGATTTTTTTGGATAGTACCATAGGTGTCCTGCCTAGAATTTCGAATCGGTAACCCAAAATCCTGGGGTCGACACTAGACGATACTGTGGTGGGCACGGCCCACCCGGCCCCCCTGCTATATACGCCTATGACGATAGGCAGTTCCTACAATCAAGCATTAGGTAAATGATCAGCATAGGCATGACGTATCAAGTTAGAGCGCATTATATCCTTAGCCAGGTCATGTAAAAAATGCTTTGATGGTGTAATGGTCCAAGTGGTTACTCGCTAACTGTTATTGCGCACCATGCATTTTGTTCTATCAAACGTGAAATAAAACTAAACAATTAAAGTTAAAGTTAAAATTAATTTCATACGCTAAATAACTAGTGATTACACCCTATTTTGTACAGTAAGTCGCTAGTTTTTGCGTGGCTGAGTATATTTCAATAGTATTTATTTAGAGTTAAGATGTTTGATGCATTTTAGAATCGATAAAAGTGGCGCCATCTATGTTTTGTTACCCACTTTTGTCATGAAAATTAACAATAGATTTTATTTATGGATATATGCCGATAGATGTCACTGCCAGTCTCAAACGGTTTTTAAATGAATGTATACTTTTGCTACTTCAAACAGACTTTCCCGAATTCAGAATTATAATGTTGAACTTTCTTTATTAATGTTATATGTAATCTATCTATTAGGTATTTTAGTTATAAAATTTATTAAGTACGAGATTCCTTCTATGACGCACTTTTTGAAATTTGTTCTAGTTTTCGAAAAGCATTTTGGCTTTTAAATTGATTTAATTATCTACAGGTAACATTTGGAAAAGCTGTGGCATACGCCGCGTTCTTAGATAAATAAATTGTATATTTTAGATATGGCCTTTGGCCTCGTACTGGCCATCGCAGTGTAGGACGACCGCGCACTAGATGGAGTGACGAACTGTGGAAGTCGATGGATGCAGGTGGCTCAGGATGGTACTTCATGGCAGTCTATGGGGGAGGCCTATGTTCAGCACTAGTCTCAAACAGGCTGAAATGATAAAGATAGATATAAGTGGTGCTGCGTACCAATGTAGCAATTGTTATGATTAAACAAAATCGGAGAACGAGATACTTTCTTGTGTCTCTTAACTTGTACAATTTAAGCCAATATTTGTCCTCGTAGTCCGTATTGTCGATTTTAACCCTACTTTAGGTTAGTATCTAAAAACGTCACTTGTTTTGCAAAAGAACGTTGCTATATATATTCCAGGTTATCGCGTTATGCAATTTCGATTTATTAGAAAGTGATATTGTACATAGACAAATTACGTAAATGATATTTTAACCAAATAAGGATTAAATATTACACGTATATGTTTTATTTTTGTCGAATATTCTTTGGCTTTGTAAATAGACGATGTTCCATTTTATGGAAACGTCTTTTACTATGAAACAGTAATAACGGGTTTTCTCCGCATTGAAACTGTTGATACAATTTTTTGATGTCCATGTTAATAAATTAGAAATATTTGAATGACTATTACTAATGATAACTGCTTGCCCGTTTACCATCTCTAAAATACAGATAACGTAAACATATAAGTGTTAGGTGTTCAACGCAATAAAATATTAATCTCCCTCTCCTTTTACCTAAAAGCAATCCTCGAGATATTTCGCCAGTGAACGTTGGTAACATTGAAACGTATTCATCCGCTAGAAAAAAGTAAAGTTGATGGCTCCGCGACTGTTGCTCATCATCATCATGTTCCAGCCATTATCTCACAAGGTAGAGTCGGCATAACACGTGAATAGTGTTGTAAGTAGTTTTGGCTATGATTTTTACGACCGGCCCCCAGCCTGACATCCACCCTTCTGGAAACAACCAGATCTGGGATGATATGTGGGACACACAAACCCACGAGCACCCGCGCCGACGCCAATCGCCCGTTAACTGCGCCGCAACTATTTCTAAATGCGAAACTTTGTAAATAGAAAGCGCAGCGATCCTTTGTCAGTGGGCGGTCTTCTTCTAGCTTTTCCCTCGTGAGTCTCCGAGCCAGGATTTAGAGGTCTGGAGACCTCGGGGCAACAAAGGAGTGGAGGCCGTGTTTGTACAAAGTACTGCTACGTGTAGGTAAAGGTAAAATGCGAAAAAAGAATTTGACAGGAAAAGTTGTTTACTAGTCCGAATTCGAATTTATTGTTCCGACGTCTCTATTGTGTGGGGGGAGCCTATTCTAAATCCGGAGCTATGGTGTCCCTATCAGAGCTATGGTGTCTTCTTCCGCTCTTGAGGCTTTGGCGACTGTAAATTCTGAACCAGAAACACCATAAGGAACTAAAATATTAGGTATCTATGAAAGATTAGTAACAGCACTAGAGTAGACGTTTGAGAAGACTGTGTTTGCTGGACGTGGTTAGAGCGTACCGGAAATTATTTTCAGTCTTGTCTCCGTTGGCTTTTAACACCAGAACCCGCAGATGATTGAATCAATTGATCATTTGTATGTTATTTTCATATATGAACGCATATATGTATGTACATGTTTGGCTCTTGTAATTTGTTATGGACAGACGATACGAAGTATCCATACCAAGAACGGCGTGAACTGGAAGTATTTATGCCTTTTAAGCATCAATGAATGAACAGAGCTTAAATGAATTGATTTGGTTAGTGTACAGAATATTTACATTCGTTTTAAAATGTTTCTCTAGGCAAAACGATGACTTTTCTCAAATCAGAAGTTTTTATTATCACAGAGTCGACTATACTTGGAGGTAAAGCGCTAAATCTGAAGCCCATTCGCTTTTGGCTTTAAGAGCACATTGTAAGGTCCAGCTCTCGATAGTTTAATGTTTTCTGAGTCGAAAATACAGTAAGGGAGAGATTTGAGGTAATAAATATGAAAAAATGTAACCTAATTTAAACACTACTAGTCCTTTAGTTGTTTACTGCTTTTAGTTTATAGAGTCAAATCAAGCTTCTAACAGTAATAACGTAAGGATACCCAATGGTTTTTATTTCTGAGTTTCTTTTGCCGTTTCTTTTTTTCATCAATGGCTTTTTTTCCGAACCGGTAGTCGTATTTTGAATCACAATAAATAAGTGTAATAATTCCATATTTAATTTTAATTTGCGATTTCGTTTAAAGTAAATCAATTAACATAGTAATCTTTACCATTTATATATGACCATGGACTCTTCACCTGTCGCGTCGCAAAAGCAAGAGTTCTTAATATTGATATATTCCTTTTGGAAATCTATTAGTGAGCTGATGGTTAATAATTTTTTCACCTAAAGAGTGAAAGATTTTGTTAACAGCAGACTTTCAGTATTATTGCACAAGTAGGAATAAATGGTCTATAAATATTAAGCCGAGTGCCTTAGCCCGGTTTAACCACATAGCAAGAGTTGCAATTGCTACGGGCCCCGCGCCGCATTATTAAACCCACTCATCTCTGACTGAGCCTTAATAATTTGAGTGAAAATTATTAAATAAGTAAGAGTATTGAATTGTTTTGTTACAAATTGATACTTAAGAACCCATAGCCGATCAGGCCTGCTTGAAAGAATTTGCTACGGGCCCCTCGCTAGCTTGCCAGCAAGCGCGTAAATTCTCAATGAAAAAAAAATAAAAATTCGAGAAACTCGAGAATCACAATCATGTAGATCCAACTTGTTACATCTGAAATACTGATTTGGTCGCGATGAAACGATAAACGATTGTGTCGAATTTCCATTTTTACTAAAACAAAAGCGTTAGTTTTTACGTAATCCAGCCAGACCAATTGTATAATGATCGTTTCCACGTAATACTCAACTTTTTAGAGAAAATTTAATGCTATTTATCATGTATATTTTACATGATACATAGCCTACGTCCATCTGTAATAATATGGAAAGTGTTAAAATGTATAGGACCTTTCATATGGTGAGACAACTTTCCAAATAGTGCACTTGTTTCCCACACACAATAAGCACACTTCTTTATAACATTATACATTTGTGACAAAGCATTATTATAGTAGGTAAGTTAAGTTAACGCTTATAACTTTAACGTCTTTATAAACGGTGACTTTGTTGGCATTTTAAGAGGCCATTAATCAAAGAAGAAAGACTTTTAGGCAAATAGTAGACGTTATACCTTTATGTCTACTTTTATTAAATATAATAAGCACAGTCAATCGATCATAATGAAAATTATAGATTAAGTTAAAATTTAACGAACTTAATTTTGCTATCCCACGTCAGGACCTTCAAAGCGTCGTTGCGGAGATAATTAATTATATCACGAACGGCATAGGTTCGGTTTTTGGTAAGAAACAAGTAAACATTGTGGATAATTCAAATTCAACATATAAAATTAATTACATCAAAAATACCGAAAAATTTCCTTAGTACAAGAAATTAAAACCGATTTTCAGACGCATTGAATTCAATTACTTAAACACTTATTGTGATCGATGGATGTGTGTTTTCGAATGTGTTTGTGATTTGCTGATTAATTGTGCACTCTTAATACATTTTATGACGTTAAGCAACACTTCTAGAGTCAGCGCTAAGTGGGACTGATATTTCAAGTACCCACTAATGAAAATGCTTCTCGATGGAACGATTAATAATTATCGAAGTAGGCGACCACGTTCGTTGGTGGCGTTTCCATTTCCATTCGCCGGTGGTTGCGGGTGACGCGACAAAGTTTTTAATTGTCGTTAGACGTGAAAATCGCCAGCTGCGAGTAGGAGGGATTTCAGTGGCCCCCATTTGACCGTCACTGCCATATTTGGCACGGCCCGAGGCTAAATATGGCGGCCGGCCGGCCCACCGAGCTCGCGCCGCTCGCCGCTCCGCGCTTCCGACTCTATTATTTCTATTTACGAAATAAACACGAAAATAAAATCTCTATTTTAACACGGATTTCGGGCGCCGAAACGCTGCCCGGCTCCCGGCACCCGACGGATGTGTCGGGTTACGCCGCGGCCGGGGCGTGCGTCCCTCTCGGCGACCGCCGCGCGCGCGCCCGCCAGAGCGAGACGGATAGAGGTCGAGGCGCGCGGGACGGAGCCGTGCGAAGTCAGTCGCGGTCCGAGCGGCCGAGTCGTCAGTCCCGCCCTCGGTTCTTTCGCGTTCGCGGTCAGTCTCCGTTCGGCGTTCGAACGGCGAGGTGTGTATAGCGCGCGTGCGCACGGTTACTGTGGCGTACTGCGAGGTTATAATGGACGCGCCCGGCGGTGCGCGGGAGCCCCGCTTCGGGTCGCCGTACGGTATGGGACTCCTTGGGGACGTCGGGGACATGTACGGCGCGGGCAGGCCGGCCAGCGCCCTCGGCGGCGGGCCGCTGCGGCCTGGCATGCAGCCCTGCCCGGTGCCGAGGGCCGGCGTGAAGCGCCCGTCGGAACAGTGCTACGACGAGAGGCCCTCGCAGAGCCTCGGCCTCGAGCACTGCCCCATGCCCGACATAGCGGACGACGGCTACGCATCCCTGCAGCCCAAGAAGTCCCCGCCGTCCAACGGCAAGAAGACAAAAGGACGTGTTAAGATCAAAATGGAATACATAGACAACAAACTGCGGCGGTACACAACATTCTCTAAGCGGAAGACTGGGATCATGAAGAAGGTGGGTCAGAGACCGCTTTTGGCAATATTCCATAACATGGCCATCTGTTCATTGTGACCATTAAAATGTGTTAAGTGTATGTTTCACACACAAGCAAGCCTTTGCAAAGTGAAGTGTGTCCACCGAATAATAATAAATGTAAACTTCTTACTATAACAACAAATTAAATAATTCCTACAACTCAACTAAATTAGAATAAGCCAATAATAACTTCTGTTTTTATACCTTGGGAGTTCACTTCATATGATTTTTAAAATATTTTAATGTAAATCAATTAAATTGCATCCCATAAAATTAAAATTAAGTTCTGGAAAAAAAATCAAACAATTACTCTTAGAAAACTCACAAGTTATATTAATATCAAAACTACATAACTGATAATTTTCTATTTATTTATTAATTTTAAAGCCCAAAAATCATAATTGGATTGGCGCTGGCACACAGTTGCTTAAGCTTAGTTGTGCAAGTCTGTCTACAACTAAATACTTAAGAATAATTAAGGAATACAAACACCAGGAATAAAAAACAGAATATGTTCTATTACCTGGCTAAAGTGATACTTCTATAAAGTGGATAAAATGTTACTTTATTGATAAATACATTTGTTGACATTTTAGGTTATATTTGGTCTAACAACAGTGTGTGATGGAATATTGCTCAAAAGGTGTCTAAACAATTATTTTTTGCATAAATATCAATTTTTCATTAGGAGGAATAGGAAAAAATGTGTTGTTTCCTAAAAATACGTGTTTTAGTGAGCATTTGTGACTAAAGTTTTGACAGATGTCAGCTGATGTTAATATATTTTACCGTAAGTACATCAAGCAAGCCATTATTAAGAAGAAGAAGAAGAAGTAAGTACATCGGATATCATTTTACAAAGGTTACGTGTAATTGTTGGTTGTAAATAAGTAATTTAGATGTATCAATTCCCATTGAATGCCTTTAGTTGAAATAATTCATTACATTCTGATACTTATATACAGTAGCGGCTGTCAGATTTAGTTACATAAATGCTTAATAGATGGCGCTACTTATCGCATAAGACATTTTTGTATCGATATCTACTGTGAAAAAGAAATATTTCATTCAAGAAACAACCGATATTTACAACCGATCATTATTTTATATTTGTATATTAATTTTTGTTCTTTCAAAAAAATACTTCCGCAAAATCGTTATGAATGTTTCAAATAAATCCCAATAGTGTCGTTTATAAAACTATTTGTCACAATAATAACAAAACTAAATGTAATTATTTTCCCTTTATATTATTTTATAAAGTCCAAATTATTGCATTGCATGTAATGATTATATTTCAAATACGATTTCGATTTAAAAATAATATTCAAACATAACTTATTCTTAATTGTAGCTTCAATTAAAAAGAGAAGAGATTATAAAGCTTATATCATAAAAGTCCACGCGGTTTTTAATTTTAAAATACTTATAAAGTGCCTTGACATAAAATGTAATATTCATTTAAACGACTTTAAAGTAAGTGCAGGGCACTGCGTAATTTGCGTAAATTATAAACACACGATGATAAAACTGCTTCAGTGCATGCTTGCATTTTTAATTAGCCACTTGTATGTTGGTTTTATGTTTTATTGCCTAGTTATCATTACATCAATTGATTTAGTCTTATTTTGGTGATAATACTGATGTTTTTACTACTTTGGACCTACCTAGGCGTTACGCAGAAACTATACGAGAGCTAAGCGTAATTTTATTTAAAACATCGGCATATTTATAAATAACTATTTACATTTGTTTTTTTTTTTAACTTAGTCGTGGTAATAGCATCGCGTTATAGTAATTAATTAATGTATGCGTCATTTAACCCGATGGGGTCGACAGTACTCGAGGGGTTTAGTTTAAGCTTACTCAATGTAAGACGTAGTCAAAGTCTATGAGAAAATTTCAATGTAATCAATATTGATGGGTACACAGACACGTGGGTATTAACATGTTACAGGGTTTAAACGATGTTGCGAGTGATAAACTAATATGTTTATTTTTTTTATGTGATAAGTTGCCAAACGAGTAGACGGTTTACCTGATGTTAAGTGAATACCGCCGCCCATGGACATCTGCTACACCCGAGGGTTCCAGGTGCGTTGACAACCTTTTGAAAATTGGGCTCCGGCTACCTCACTCACCAGTCGAAACGCGATAGTATTTGTCATACTTCCACTTTAGGCCCTACCACCGTAAGATCCCGTATAAGATGAGTATCCTTAATAAGCGGTCAATGATTCACTAACGTCACTGTTCTATCTAATAGGCAAGAGAGTTCGCAAAACGGTCTACCATAATCACTGAATACTTCTCTAGAGTTCAACTAACGCGAGTCATTGTTTTAAAACAATAGCAGTGTTGTTTTATTTAGTACGGACGAGCGAAGGTTTTCCCAAAAAAAAAAATCTTTGAGAATTTGATATCTACGCGCAAAGTAATATCTCCAGTGCAAAGTACGTAAAAAAAAAGTGACAGCTTGTATATTTCCCTTTGCTTGGCAAAGCACTCTGTACAGAGGGTATCGGATCGTAGTCTAACACGTGAGCCCACTGCGGATGGGCGGACTTCACAAATCTTTGAAATGTTGTTTTTGTTATTATTCCGAAAATATGCAGCTTTCCTCCCGATGTTTTCCTTCAACGCTAAGCACGAAATAACTCTTTGTTAAGCACTTAAAGTTATCAATTTCATCGGTGCCGGCATCTGATATCGAACTCAGGTTGCTCGAGTAAATTGAATTAAAGGCGCCCGGACACTGAGCTATCACGGCTCAATGTCCACGGCAAAATACGTTGTTAATAGTATAACAAGACAAAAAAAAATATTCAAAATATATATGTTATTTTATGCTTCAAATATTTTTACCAATCGTTTGTGAATTAAATATTCCCGACAAATAAACATCAAGGAAGGCGTATAATTTATGATTAATAGTATATTTTAAAATTTTGAATAATTAAAACAATGCTAAATAAGTAATGATTTCTTGTTTTTTGTCAAATGTACATTGTCTCTATTTATTGATTCAAAGACCTAATTTTAAAATTGTGGATAAACGTTTTTCGCCAACCTTTCCAGCGCCTAATGATAAACGATTGTATTTATCGTAATGTTGATTCCATTAGATACAATCAATTTACATTTTAGTCTGTGTCATTCATTAAATTTTTATCCTGAATTGATTACGAATTGCCAGTACACGTGTCATAACATTTAAAAATTAAAGTTGCCAACAGACCATTTGTTTTCACCACAATGATACAAATTACAAACTGTCTCCGCGTCTCTACTCTATAAAATATCGTATTCTTTGTCATTCATTCATAATAAGTCGTTAAAAAATTAGCAATTTATATTATAAATAAAAACAATTGGATCGAATATCTGATATTCTTATCCATATTAGTTTACTAAGATCTACGTATGATACTAACTGTATTATTTGTCGTGTGTTAATAATACTTATTGATTAAAAATCATAAATTGTTTTTGGTGTGAGCTAGGGCTCCCAATTATAGTATCGTTACAAAATAATCTTAACTAAACAAAGTACAATTAAGTATTTTCTAGATAAAGAAAAGTAACAAATAAATATTTGTTTTTTATTAATTTATTCGAGAACTGTACTTTTAAAGATGGAATAAAATTTATTAGTTTCCATGTTTCAAAATAAAGTTGTCCATCTAATAGAAATATAGCATTTTAGCGTACTATTTAAAAAGAATATTTTGTCAACAGTGTATCAGTGCGACTTTTTCAAAATGTTACCGTGTTCATAGAATTTATAAATCGTAACTTTCTGGCTAATAAATGATAACTTTTCCGACTCATATCTTTGGAAATGTATGTAGCTTTCTAAAACTATGACATAAATCCAAAGTCATGATTTTCATAATTAGGTCCCTTTAATTCTAAAGGTGCGATATGTTTGCTTTTAAACATTGGGGGGACGTGAAAGAGACAGAAGTATACGTTATGTAGCTTTCTAAAATCGACCCATGTTTTAACAGGATTCGAGAAAGGTGGTCGTTTTAGGTCGATTCCTGACATAAATCCAAAGTCATGATTTTCATAATTAGGTTCCTTTAATTATATACGTCTGTCGTGATATATCCAAATATCACGGATATACTACAGGATAGATTTAAATTTTTCTAAGTTTTATTTCTTAGAAATATCAAAAAAATGTGATCAAATCAAATTTAATGTAAAATTATTAAAGTTTTAGGAAACGACGATTTTTATTAGCACCGCGTGTTCAGCGATGTGTTTTCTTGCCGTGGCAATTATCACCGCGGTCTTTTTGATGTTTTTCTTTCGTTTGCACATAAAATCAATTCTCAACGTGATAAGCAACGCAGACTCACGTCTGGTATCGGCTAGTTATTATTGAGGCTTCACTTGACCAGCTCGCAAGGACCTGGTAACGGGCTGAGTCCCGGTCGAGCGGGGCACGCGATCGGCCCTGTCTCGCAGCGGGATTCGAACCCGCGCTTGTAAAAGGCTCTAGTTATTTCGAGCAGCCGCTTTATTTCGCTCTCGGCGCTCCAGATTTGTTGTAATCGAGCCGGTGTCGAACTGATGCTACTGGGCCTTTCGATGCATTCACAGTGTAATTTATCGCTACTGTGTTATAGTACTGGCTTTTAAACGGCTATCAGAAGATATTTCACTTTTGCTTTTTATTCCTTACTAGCTGACCCGGTAAACGTTGTTTTGCCATATATTATATAAATTATTTTTAGGGAATTTGTGAATCTGAACACAGAAAAAGAATTTTCGGAACGCACCCATAAAATGTTTGACAAGTAGGAACAGTTTGTATGGAAAAAAAAATTGTTATTCGATTTTCCATGCGATTTTGCCATAATTTCTGATCGTTTAAACCTTCCCTGGATTGCCACATATATTTCATATCCGAGACTAACGAACAGTAATTCATTTTTATATATATAGATTTCAATATGAAATGAGATTTC